AAATTGGATGTTTATTACACAGGGACTATCTATACATGTGAGTGTATTATTTGACCCTTTACAAATAAATTTGCTGATCCTTGGGAATATTGATTCTTTTTACACAGCGTGGTTCAAATATTATCAAATAGATCCTACAGGCCTTCTGTATAAAGTAACATTTTAAAAATAGGAAACCATACATTTATCAAAATCATTAACCTTGACTTTCAAAATTTTTCTCTTTAAAACATCTTTTAATGGCCTTATATTGCGCACCTCCATTTAATAAAACTCTTTCGCATGGAATTCAAGGGAAAGGCTCTTTATAACCTGACTCTAGGCAACATTTCCTGTCTTAAATTGGTTTCTCTAATTCCAGTTCAGTCATTCTCAAACACAAAGGTTAAAAAAAAATAAAAACCAATTAACAAAAAAAATAATTCAATCAAACCCCAAAGAAGGTCAATAAAAAAGCCCGGGAAAAAAAACCTGCTGGTGTAGTGGGTCAAGCACCGGGCAACTACCCACAAGGTCAGTAGTTGTTTTTGTTTTACTGAAGAGGAAAGAAAGGCTAAGTAAATTTGGAAACATATGGTCTAAATTCTATGGGAGGCTGAGAAATAATGTCTACCAAATTCCACCATGCCCAACCAGCTTAATATTGTGATACAGTTTTTTATGTTGACATCCCTAGCACATCTGTGCCAAAGGTCTTGTAAGACACAGGGAGAAAACAACAGGCTTCCTCTTGCTTCTGTACAAGAGACTCTGCAAGGTGAGTGATGTAGTCAAGTGAGATGTTTATACAAATAGGTTAGCGGGGAAATGTGGGTCCTTCCTGACGGCGATGATCCCCATGGAGGCTCCCATTCGATACCCACACTGCTGTCTTTAACCTCAACTCCTGCTGACATTACTTCCTTACCCAAAGGCAGAAGACACGCTTATTTCATGCATTTTGTTCACCACCTAGCACAACATTTGCAAATAGTTATTAAAGATTCCCACTTGGTTTGGGGTGATACAGCCTTTGACTTTAAATTTTTTCTCTTGTTCTAACAGTGGCT